CTGAGGGGTGACCTCATGAATGTTCATAAATGTGTAAAGGGTGAGTATGAGGAGGAAGGAGCCAGGCTCTTCTCAGTGATAGCCAATGACAGGACAAGGGGCAATGGGAGCAAGCTGGAGCATAGGAGGTTCAACCTGAACATGAGGAAAAACTTCTTTACTGTGTGAGGGTTACAGAGCACTGGAACAGGCTTCCCAGAGAGGTTGTGTAGTCTCCTTCTCTGGAGACATTCAAAACCCACTTGGAAGCATTCCTGTGTGACCTAGTCTAGGTGGTCCTGCTCTGGCAGGAGGTTGGACTGGATGATCTTTCGAGGTCCCTTCCAACTCTTAACATTCTGTGATTCTGAGATTCTTTGATATCAAGAGTGCCTAAGGAGATAAACTAATGGAAAAAGGAAGGGAGATAAGATCTCACAGTTGTCTCTACCATCACTGGTTTCTTTCAGTCTTGGTTAGCCAAGTCAGCATGCCGTCCTAATGGGGACTCAGCTTCAGGTTGGGAAGCAGTTTGAAGCTGAAATGAATGCATTTTCCAGTAACTTGTTACATATGGTCAACAGTTAGAAATTAATAGAAGACATTTTACTCTTTTCCTTTTAAACTGCTTGTTACCCCTGAGCAAATAGTCTTGATTTTTATTTCCCAAACAAGATAAAAGAAAACTGATCTCCATTTCTCCCTCCCTCCCTTGTCCCCCTTATTCAGCATGTCCAAAAATAGCAAAAGAAGTTACCTACAGGATTCAGGAGAATGGTGAAGAAGAGTTCACCTCCCCGGATACTTTTGTCCAGCTCCTGAGGACCCCCAGGATATTCCTTGTAAAAAATAGTATGAGTGAAAAGGCCACAGGTCTGTCGAGGGAGCACCTGAGAATGAAATAACAGTGCTGTTGTGACATTAACTTATTTCTGCAAACTTACCCTGGCACATCCACCCTGATCCCTCCAGCAACTCAAAGAAACAAAACTGCAACCCTTTCTGCCTCTGTGCTCTCATGTGTGTGTTTATGGCATCCTCTCATGGCAAGGAAGTGCAGTCCTGCAGATGTGGAGATTTCCAGATGCGAGCTGAAAAGCTGCACCACACATGTTCTGAGCTTTCATGCAGACTGTTTTATTCAGCCCATACAGCCATAATTAAGTATTTGTTTCCTGGCATTTGGAAGGGGAAGAAAACAAACAGCCAGACCTCTCTTCTCTTAACAAGGTTAGTTTATTAACAGATGAATAGTGCTTCCTGACCATTGTCGCTTTCTCAGGCAATTAATCTTACTGTTCTTGTGACACTGAGCTGAATTTATATTCAAGGATGCAGACCACAAAAGATCTGTTGCTTCATGCTTTCCTCAGTCCTGAAAAAGCATGCAGAACTTTTCATTCCTGTTTATGAAATCTGCGCAGGACTGGTGGGACACTCGCATGAGAGGGGCCTGAGGTCAGCTTTCCTTGATTTATAACAGGAAGAGGCTGTGTGTCAAAAACCAGTGAGCTAGCAGATGTGGGAGAACTAACTAATCTTGGAGAATTGGATATTTTACTTATGTTCTTAGCTAGGTACTATCATATGGGTCTGTACAGCAAGTAAAGACAACTGTCAGGGCTTATACTGCCTAATACATACAGAGATAATTCACCTGGGGGAGGTCTTTTATTTCCCTCCAGTTGGTGTTTTTGCTTTTCTACTCAGTTAAAACAACAAATAAAACCTATATTCAGCAGAGCATTCAAATATATGTGTAAATGCACTGCTGAATTTGAGTCTATTCCAATGGTAATTTGACTCTGTGCAGTAACTTCGTGTTTTTGATTAAGACATTTTGCTTGTCTTGTTTAGGGGACCACAATTTTGATTTTTATGCACAGGCAATATTCAAGTCAGCTGGGACTTTAAAGCATCCTGGGACCCATCCTTGAAATATTTCTAAGTTAAGTTATGCTTATTTATTTTTTGTGATTATGTTTCACCTATCTATAGTGTTGCAGTTGGCTGGTAAGATGGGCCAGATTATTTTGTGCAGTTTCTTGCCCTTCACACATTTGAAGTGTGTATGTGAGGAACCTTCCCTCCTCATGCAAACATAGTCTGGAAGAGTCAGCCACGTGTCCTAGCACTGGGTCTGGGAGCGAAGCCCAGAAGAAAACCTTGGCTTCAGAGAAGTGTCATACTTTCTGGAGGAGAGTAGGTGGTGGATTTCTAACCCTTTCATGCATAAAGATGAACTAGAGCTTGAAACAAAGGTCTCAGGCAGTTTAATGAATTTTGAAGCATGCATTTATAAGTCAGTTGATAGTTGATGAGACTTACAAGTACATCTAGTTTCTAAGGATTACTTTTGCAGTTGTCTGAGTTTGTGTGATTTTTTTTCTTAAACTGACTACCTAACGAATGCACTATTTTGGCATCCTTACAAATCCTCGATCACAGAGAATTTTAATGAATGCTGTAAAACTTGAAGCATTTGGTAAAAATAGCATACTTTTGAGTCTCTTAAAGTACTATTGTTATGAAGTATGGAAATGCAGTGTACCATGATGCCATTGTGGATGAAGCCCCGTCTGTACCGTGCAGGCTTCAAGTGTGGGTATTCTTCTGTGCTGGTCACTCGGATGTGCCAGACCTTCTTCCAGGCCTCATACAGCTGGATGTGAACCGGGTAGACTCCAGAGTGGTGCGGAGCCACTGCGTACCCCATGTCAGTTGGTATTCCATGCTCCTGCAACAAAGCAGAAGAAGGAATATATTTAGGAGCAGAAAAGAACATGTGATTATTCAGAGTTTATATTTTCTGTAGACTGCAGCATTGAAGAAGCTGTTGTCCTTGGACAGACCTGTATCTATTTGTATGTAGCACAAGTCAAAATGGGGGAGAGATGAAGGGAACTGGAATTACCTTTTGATAACTGTAGAGTGATAAATAATCCTCTTGGATTATGTTGCATTACTGTTATAGGGAATAGATTTGCCTGCCTTTTCATTACATATTACATGTATTTTAATATACTTCCTACCTTTTGGTTATTTTTAAAGGTAATCCAGTAAACTGATGCTGCTTATTTAGTAAGCTATCAAACAGCATTAGAGCAGTAAAAAGAGGGAGGAAAAATGTTGCAGTGACATATGTGGGATTTTTTTTGTTTCCTATTTCTAGAATAACAGCAAGGTCCTTTCCTGATTTAAAAATAAATAAATATCCCCTATAGCTTCTGAAACTGCTTATATTTTTTCCATGCTATTAGGGTAACAGCAAAAAGCTGGACTGTGATGGACATCCTTTTCATTTAATGAACATTTACTCAGTTTCATTTCTATGAGGAAACGTTCATTTTCATAAATATAATCTATAGGTTATCTTGTAAATATCTTCAGATGGCACAATGAAGTAGTTGATGTGCAGGCAGAAGGAATTAAGGGAAACACTTAAATGGGAGGATGCTGATCTGCTGGGCACGTTCCCTTTGCTCCTGATGCTCTCCTGCCTTGGTCCTGCTCCTCATCCCTCTTACTCCCCACTTAGCATGGGCTGTCTGAAAAACCCCATCTGATGATGAGGCGTGATAACCACATCTATAGACTGGGATATTTTTAAAAGAGAGCAAATTATTTGAAGTGTAAACTTCATGTGAAATACATGTGAAAATGAGGTAATTAGCTTCATCACTTTGAGTGGATTCTCAAAAATGCATCCACTGTTTGTCACCAGCTCTCAGCAGAAAGAAAAGCTGTGCTCTACCTCTTTTTCCTTCTCCTGACCTCATTTCCAGCAGATCCAGAAGAAGACCTTTTCAACTCTTCCACACCATCTCCAGGTTACAGGGTGTCTTGCTGCTGTGGCTCTCACTGGACCCCTTCCCATGCTCCAGGTGTTTGCTGAATACATTTTACTCCCAGTATACACATGGTGTGGGATAACGCTGGAGGAGTGAGCTGGCCTCTGGATCACCTGCAAAGCCTCCACCTCAGCTCTTGACCCTTCAACACCTCCTCTCTTTTGCTACCTTATGGCTCATGGAAAGCACTTCCTTCTTCTGCCAGGAGAGCTGCCAGTTCCCAGGATACATCAGCTGTTTTCTGCTCATATAAAATTGATGCTCAAAGGGAAATGGCTAAAATGTGAGATGATGTTGGGTTTTTTTTGTCCTTTCTCTTGCTTACGTTATCCAAGAACTGTTGATTACTTTAATTCCACAAACAGCAGGTTCTGCTGGGCATCTTAGAGTGCTTTGCAAAGAAAGGCTTTTGGTTCATTGACAAAATCTAAGTCTGTGGGGAACACTTACTCATACATCAAGTAATGCGGCCACTTATATTATCCATTCCTTATTACTAAAGATCTTAAATTACCATCTGATCTTGAAAAAGAGAAATCCAAATTCCCTGTTTCATAATTTACTGAGACCAAAATGTAATTTCTTCTTATTAATGTTGTTACCTCCCTTACAGGCATGAGTCAGTTTAAGGGTGAAATGAGGAATAGCTCTGTAATGAGAAATGTCAAATATCTCCTTTTCTCTATTTTTTTTTTTGCCATAAACATGTAAAATGGAGAAAGCTATATCTAAATGTTTCTGAAAAGTCTGGTCATTTATTACTCTGCCTGAGTAGTCTATGATGCTCACACTGTCAAATATACTGTGTTAACTTAAATATACTGTATTAACTTGAATCAACTTGAATACAAGCCTACACCAAACCTGTGTTAGGGAATATACAGAATTGTAAATGTAATGTAAATGTGTCTTGAGCTAGATAAAGAACACTGCACTAAATTATATGTCTAAAAGTAGGTATCTGGATGACTACATGCAAAATCCTGTTTACCTACTTAATATTTGCTGCTGGTATTGCCATAGCAACAGAATGGTAAAATGGTAATCTACCATTCACAAATAAAATTAGTCAGATTTTCATAAGTTCTCAATATTAAAAAGCTAATTCGCTTCTGAATTAAACCTGCACACTACACAGTTCATCACACAAACACGTCAGCCACTCAGATACCCACTGTGACTTTAAGGAGAAACAACAACAAACAAATAATCAGATTTTCTTTGGTCACTTCCATGTTCAGTTTACTGAGGTAAATTAAATATTGTATTTCATCTTTTATTGATTTCTGTTGCTCTGTTTCCTTTTTTCTCTCATTTTGTTACATAATTTAGTTTGGGATTGAGAACTAATGTGTTAAATGAGTAGTGTTCATCTGAGTCCAAGGAGGACTTAATCCAAGCTGTTGAACAAAATGGGAGAGGTCTTTAATGAGCATATTTTCTTATACATTGTAAGAGATATTTTCCTATGAGATTTCATTAGGCTATTTTTACATTCAAGACTTCCATTGATTTTTATTTTTTTTTAAATTTTAGAATTTGTTCAAAAACTTGGTGCATCTGTTTGTCTAGTCTGGAAAACTTCTGGACCTTTTGGCATGGAGAACAGCATTACATTCCTTTGCATGCTTAAGCTGGAACCCCAGAGCCATTACTTTTGGACAGGTTAAATTTATAATCCTATTTCAAATGTGCACTAAGAGATTTTTCAGTCCTATTTTAAATGACAGTGTAAGCTGTCTGGATGAGTTCAACATTAAAGGAGTATCACTGTGACAACCAATGGAACGGGGAAAGACAAAACAGCTGTTGCATTTTTAGTAGAAAATTCCCTAAGTCATTCTTGCTTCCCATGAATTGCTTTGCATCATGGAGCAGCCTGGGAGGACTAGACCAAACCAAAAGATACTCTCCAGGAGCACACCTCATGTCCTCCAGATAGCAGTGAGCACATGGTATGTGGGTCAAATTGATGCTAGCTCAAAATAACCCTCTCTCCAATACATGCGTGTGGTCAGCATGTCTGGCCAGTGGCAGCTGCTTTCCATGGCAGACCTCAGGGAGTGCTTCCAACACAGGCTGATTCATCTGCACACCCTCTAAAGTTACCTTACCCAGTGCCCATACGTAGACAGGGGCTTTCACTGGTGACTTGAAACGCTGAAGCAATCTGCCGGGGCTGCTTATCTCTCTCAATTATCAGGTTTGTTCAAGCAAGTGAAGATTTCCTTGAAACTCCTGACCTCTTTTAACCCTCCTGTTTGTACAGAAATGAGCTGTATTTGCCATGAGTCAGCATGTGCTGTGTGCACTTATTCTGTATTTGCAAAAAAACCCCTCTGCGAAAGAAAGGACAGGTAATGCAGAATGAGCACTGCTTTCCAGAAGTAAATATATTCTCAGCAAGTAAGTGTGCATTCCTATAGCATTTTTTAATGTGAGCAGATGTTAGAAATTTGAATATAAATCAGTGTGTGGAAGATTTGATATTTATATTAGCAGCATCTTGTCTGACAGAACCACCCCAGCTTTTGATTGCACCAAGCATTACATGTCCTTGTTAAAATCCAGTAAGAAATAAAATTAAACAAAACCTAAAACTGTTATAACACAACTGGCATTTTGGTTCTTAAGGATCAGTGGTGACATTTTTTTTTTACAGAAACATCTAGTGGCCATTCTCAGAGAAAGAATCAAAAGAGAACCATTCTATTTTAATTTACTAAATATTACATCTACTCTAGATCTTTGCACAGTCAGTTGAAGTGCAGGATTCCCTTTGGTGTAAAAACTTATTAGTCAAGAAAGTTAACAATACAAACTCAGATAAGTTTGCTAAACTTTTTGATTTTGTCTAACAGTAGGTGATAGAGTAAATCTAGTATTTTTAAGATATTTTCTGCTAAAGTTGAAAGATTTACATAAGCTTTGCGTATTTTTAGTATCAGGATATATTTCTGATATTGCTTGAGATGGGTGAGATTTCCAGTAAGAGATTATAGGTTACTATGTCATTTTAAAATACTTAGTAAAGTTTCTCTTATTTGGTGAATGAATTTGCTACTTTCTTGCTTGTCAGCACTCACAAAAATTTTGTGTTGTATTTTATCCTTTATGGACACATGATTTTTGTTCTCAAGATTTGTACTTCTTGATAATTTTTATTAGAGAAATATTGCAGCTTTCAATTACTTTTAGTTCAATTCTAAACTAGCAGACTACCAAGAGGCAAAGAAGATGTTAGTATTTAAAATCCTAGATTTCTGAGGACATGAAATGAAGAAAGGCAGTGTGGCACTAAGGAAGCTGCACTTGACTAGGAAAAATGTAGACTCTGCATGTGTGTGGTATCAACTAAAGCTGAGAAAGTAGAGTCAGAGATTTGCTGTCAAAGCACACTCCTGAGATGGACAAAAACAGTAACAAAGGTGGATTATTTAGGAAGGATCTTAAGGTCAGGCAGAATAAACCTCATGTTTTCTGTACAGAACAATGTTATTCTATGTATGCAGATAAATTACAGAATGTTTTTAGAGGCAATCTCTAGTGCACAACTCTCCTCCTCCACATTAACTATAGATATTAATAATGGGACAAAGTAGACTCTTATTTCATCACATGTAGATACTTTTCATTTGATATGTGGTCACTAGTTTTCATATGCTTGGTATTTAATTGGTATATTAAAAGATCATGGTTTATTTGTAGTTTGGGCAGCTCAAAAGTTTTAGGCAGAGAAAGTGCTAATGTGCATCTGTAGGTGGTTTAGAAACAGGAGATTGAATCCAAGGAGCATTACTAGACAGGCTCTGAATTGATTTGTTTGTTTTGTATAAATGTGTCTCCAAATCAATTCGTTTCTTTTCTATATGTCTCTCTCACTTCTTATCAGATCCCAGCTACCTTATTTACAGCTGATGATAGTTTTTGCCCTATCTCTACTGTGCTTTGGCCACATGTCCTCACAAATGAGCACAGAAGATAATCACTGAGCAAACAAATCAAGGGACATAATACAGAGCTACAGGCTTCGGATTAAATATATTCTACTTGTTTTTGTCAGATAAGGATGTACAAAAAGGGGAAGGAAGGATATCTTGTGATTAAGGAATGGTAGTGAAAACTTGTTTCATTTTATTTTTGGAATGTGTACTATCAGAGACTTCTGCTTGCGCAATTTATTTACCTCTCTGTGTATCAATGCATTGCCTATAAGAAATGATAATAATACTTGAGATATTATCAGTTTGCAAACTTTAAGCCAAGTCTTAATCTATTAGTGTCTTTAAAGGATTTTTTATAAAGCTTGACTTTAATCCACAATACTCAGGAGTAGAACATTCATTTCATGAAATCTTTTCCTCCAGTGAACAATGAATGTCAGTCTCAAACCTTATACCCTCCTGCATGGGGAAACTGCTGACTTTGGTGGGATTTGGGTCTGTCCTTAAAGTGCAGGTTTCTGGTCAGTGTGATCTGCGTTAGCTTTCATCTGAAATGATAATGTCAGGAGGCACTAACAAGTCTTAACAAACAGAGTTTTTGTTGTGGGTTTTTTGGGACCTTAAAGCAACTTTGACTGTTCTTTTCAGGTACAATTATTTGCTCTCCCATCTTGAAGACCTCATTACCTTACTCATGTTTTGAAAATGAACAAAGAAATCCCACATTAGGTAAAGAATGAATGTGATCATACTTCCAAATAATTCTTGCAGCTTTCCTTGCAGAAACTCACAAACTATCATTTCTACTTGCAGCTGAAAGAGGAGGTGGGTAGATATGGTCAATAAATGGGAAACGCAAAAGAAAATGCATCAATATCAAGTTGTGTTCCCCTGATACAATACTACATAAAAATATGAAAGCACAAATGAAATGTGTAGCATCAAGCAGATTTTCTATGTATTGTTCATGTTCTCTAATTTAAATTTGGATTCACAGTGTGAAGTCAAAGAATAATGAAAAGGGGTTTGTTTTAACTTTGGAGAACTTATACAAATCCCTATAGAACAGGAAGTTCCTTTCCCAAATAATATGATGCTGAGGATGAGAAAGCGGAGGAGGATATAAAACTACTCTGAAGTCATGGCTGGGACCTCTCTGATAGCTATCAGGAAGGTTGTCATATCAGGAAGATAAATTTCTCCCACAGAGAGGATTTCACAGGAAGCCTTTTGAAAAGAAATGTTCTCCTAAGTAAATTGTACAGCTCATATAGATTCAAGGTTAAGAGGTTGGTACAACCCCTGTCCAAATGTTAGCAGGAAATAAAACTGTAGTAACAGCGGCCTTTCACTGACATCAGTTCCTTATTTATGGGCACCCTAAGGAGTCTCTACTTTTCAGTGATAATAAGGACATGGGCTTCATCTTTCTGTAGCTGAGGTTGCAAATAGATTCTATTACAAGCCCCATTTTCAGGCTACATTATAGATATTATTCCTAGAGATGGTTTGATCTAGAAGACTTTACATTTCTTGAAAATAGTAGGAGAATTTCCCCATAGCTTTAAAGATAAATGGACTATATGTTATTGTGATGTGGATTATTTTAAAAAAATACTCTTGCATTTAAAATATCAACTATATTTGGGTCTCTGGGCCAGGTTACAGAAAAGGCATGAACTGGCCTTGCCAGGAATGACAGCTGACAGTAAACCAGAACTGTAGAAAGGAAAAGTCGTCATCCAAAATACCTCTGTACTAACATCCCACAAAGCAGGAGATGAGAAAGGGGGAAGTCTGGCAAGAAAAGTAAACAGTTAAGCCATTTTTAATGAATTTTCTTTAAAGGTTGTTAGGAAAATATTTTTGTAAACAAGGGAATAAATTGCTTCCAACTGCTTGTTCAGGCATCTGCCTCTGCCAGTTTCCTGATGCATCTTGGCTGATGTGAGGGCTGGGAGGAAGGGGCAGATGCTGGCTGGCCTTTCTGAGCTGCGAAGGGCTGAGATTTGTGTTCCCTAAGCAGCAGAGAAAGCCCCACTGTGTCACTCTGCTCTTTTGAGTGGCTCTGATTGCTTGGCATTTCTATGCCTTGTCAAAGACCACATAGTGTCTTTTCCAAGGAGAGCATTTATAGACTTCAGGTTTTCTTTGTCATGGTCAATAACCACGAAGACTTACACTGAAAGGACTCCAAATGCTTTCCACATGACCTCGGAGCACAAGTGCTCTGAGCAATGCTAGGAGGATAGTTCTTGTATGTTAACAACACAAATGAGCAAAAATTAAACATGATTATCTATATTAGCAATGGGTTAGCTATGTAAAAAGTGTATTTTCAAGCAGGTCATCTGAAAAAAACCCCACAGTGAAATCCAGAAGCTTCACTATTTCACTTCATTATCTTCAAGATTTCTCACAAACCATACACAACATTTAGGGTTCCCTGCAACTTTCTCCCTTACCAGAATTTTAAAGTGAAGTTTGCACCAGACTTCAAGAAACTGATAAACTGCATATAAACCTGTTCCTAGAGGTCAAAAGGTGAGTTCACATTTGCTGAAGTTTCACTGCTTCTGATCACTATGGTCTCACAAGGTTGCTTGAGTGAAGGGCTGCTTCCTTTCCAGAAAGCTCTTGACAGTGAAGTAGGATAATACAAAATTCAGCCCAAGTTTGAGTCACAGAAAGGCTTTTTTTGGGACTGAGTTTCTAATCTTTCTGCCTTATTTGTATATCTATGTAAATATATCTACGTATTTATAATATAGCTAAACATAAAAACAGCTTGTAAAGCATAGCTGTAATATGCAAAGCTACCCTAGTGAACCTTTTGGTAATTTTTACTCACTATTGCAAACTCTTTGTTGAGGATCATCTGCTCCACCAGTGACGACTCATTGTGGAAAAGGTGAGGCTGCATGTGACTCCACATATGGGGAAACCACCAAAACTCATCCACAGATCTCAACAGCAGGTCATCACCTTCATCTTCCTCTGCAGTTCCTTGCAAAAGAAAGAAAGAAGAAGAAAGGTAATAGAAAAGTGACAACAGAAAATGCACATAATTGTTTTTTAAATACAAGAGAAGCTGCCATAAAACCTAATGTCCTTGTTCTGAATGTCACACTGTCCTTCAGACAGGCTCCAGCACATCACAAAAGGAGTGAGGTGAATTACCATGGATGGTAGCTATCTTTTTCTATTCCTCATGTGGTGGTAACTGACAGTAATTGTAACAAAAATTAATTCTCAAGGGCTGATTGTTGTGCTATGTAGTGTGCTAGGAGTATATGGAAGTTCAGGCTCCTCATGAACATGGAGATTGGATGTACTTGTACGCACCTGCTTTGGTCCTGCCAGACACTGCCCAGTTGTAGCTGGCCAGTGTGGTATCAGAGTGCTGTGTGTCAGACCCTTGCCAACCTACCCCACCCCTTACTCATAGCTACCTCATTATTAGCCTCAGCAAACTGAAATCTGATAATTTCCGGTAAACCAGGAAACAAGTTTGCAGTAATTTCAAAATATAATTAGGTATAAAACATGTAATGTAATGGTGAAGGGGTTCCAAATGTTGCTTCCTACAGTTCAGTATTCAATTTTTGCCAAGTTTAATCTTGAAGTAAAATCAATAAAAACTCTTGTGTTAGTGAAGAATATCTGCTTCAGACAGAAGAAAGCATGTGTGGTTGTAATGAAGAAAGCCTTCCATTTCAGAAATGATACAAAGCTTCTTCCATCCTCTGCAGACGTATATCTAGAGTGCTTTTTCAAATTGGAAAGGCAAAGATACATTTCACTAGCTTCCCCACAAGTTACTCAACAGTTTTCAGTTTATTAACAACCTTCCTTCTTGTTTCTTGACCATTTAAATGCTTTTATTTAGCTTCAGTCAGAGAAATGATTGTCAAAATCAGTCTACTAATGCAAACACGGATACCTTTCTTTTTACAAGCCTTTCAATGTTTTGCAAAACTCACTGGAAGAAAATGCTCCGTGGATGTCACTATTTACTTTTGTGGCATGAGGAAGAATGATACAGAGCTGGCCATTTGGTGCAGGCACTTCAGCTTTTTAGTTTTCTTTTTCACTTCTGCAGTGTTTTTTGAAGAATGCTGCTATACAATGAAAGCATTACTTGGAAACTTTCTCCTGCTGTCACTGAATCACTTTACTCCCCTCTTTGTAGCACTCTACGAGATCTAAGAAAGCATCAAGTTAGTCCTGCTGATGGAAGCGCTGCTGGAAAAAGAAAACAACCTTGTTTTCTAGGTAACTCCTTGCTGACAAGAAAGGACTGATGACTGCTCTTTCTGTGAATGTCTGCTCCTTCATGAAAAACTTCTCTATAAGATATCTGCTGAATGACCGCTCTCTTGTTTTTTGGTGTATGTGGTTCACTTGCAGTCCTAGACATGTGCAAGGGAAATGTGATCATAGGGGAGAAACTTAATATAGGCTTTCTAAACAGGACAGAAGAGAAAGGGATAGGAGTCTGTGAAGCCATTGAAGATCTCTTTAGTAACCCAAAGGTGGAAAACTGAAGGTAGGGATGAAGAGAAATAAAGTGGATATTTGACATATATGAAGAACTACATGTACTCAACATAAGATTTAAGTCAAAGTGTCTTATTAATATTTAAATAAAGTATGGTTCTTGAAGTAATTTCATGATTAAAAACTATATTTTAAAATCCTATTTTTTTCCTACTGATTTCTTTGTAGATTTAGATGTAATTAATCAAACTGCGAAAAAGATCAAACAAGATAAAGCTAACAATTTCCAGTTTGAACAGGTACAACCCTGTCCGGTACTGGCAGAGCTTGAACAGAAAGGTTTGGATATTTGGTGGTGCTGTTGCTTTCCAGGATAATATTCCTTACAAGACTTTAAAGGAAGTGTTGTTTGATTTCATAAATTCTTAAGTGGAGTTATATAAAAAACAAAGTCATGCAAGAGTTTAATAAGACATTTGGTGAGTGCTGATATTGTCTAAATATTTTTTGCCCAATCCCTTTTTTGGAATATTGGAGGCAAAACAAAAGATTTTGAGGATTTAATTTCTTGTACAATCAACATTCTCTGTGTACCTTTCTATCTTCATTTTAACGTGAAATCTGAAAAATGTAGTAGGCCTACAGTCAAGGAGGTGAGCATATATCTCCTTTGAGATGCAGTATGTCCTTTACACATGAAGGTAATAACTTAAAGTTATTTCGTGCATAATAAATAATCCCATATTTTAAAACTGCAACCATAACTTATAGGTCTCTTTTGAGCTCAAAACAGAAACTAAGTTTGAAGTTGCTGTCAATAATCTTATAAATCTTAAATGCAAATCCTGAGAACATCTTAATTTCTATTGGAACAGCACGAACAAGTAGAAAGTATTTGCTAAAACAGCATAACTAATAGGGTGTGCTCTGTTTTATGCTAACAGTCTTACATCTACAGTGCATAGTTTACCAGTGCCACAGAAGGGCATGGTGGTGGTGAAAGGATGAGCAGTGAGGCTGACATACCAGCTATTGTACTTGTGTGGAGACATACCAACTAGAAGCGGTGTTTGTAGTACAGATGTCAGCAACATCTTTTGATGAAAATGTGTAACTGTTTAATCTGCCAAGATGTTCCCATGTTCATTTCCCTCCTGTAGTTTTAAAATGTTACAAATTTTGGAAAGGAGAGCAAAATCGCACATTAAGAAAGTCAATAAGGCACAGCAGCTGCAGTGCACTAATAGAACATGTTTAATATCTGATACTAAAAGCCTCTCAGGGTAAACAAGCCACATTTACAGTAATTAAAGAATACCTTTCCGTGTTTTATTTATAATGAGTCAATAAAGTGTATATTGCATGGAGAATACTTTGAAATCTTTCCACTAAGCTGGTATAACAAAATGCCACTACCAACCTGTAAATAAAGTGCTCACTTAAAAACCCAGTTGCATCACTGAGTACAAGCAGCAGCAGGACCCTTAATAGAGGCAATTACATGCTTCAACTCATTAAGTAGTTTTGTGCTATTTTTGTAAGCCTAGAGAATCTTAGAAGGACAGGCACACGTAGACATTCTCCTGTTTTCTCTCTCTACAGCAGTAGGAAATCTGAAACTGGTCAGCATTACATCACCTGGGCAAGAAAACCCATGGACTGGAAGGAACAGGCTTCACTAAGGAGCAATAACAGCATATGGAGATGTTTGGATTAACAAAGAAAAAAGTATTGATGGGTCGTGGGTTTGATTTTGTAGAAAGGCTGCATGTTTTGTGCCAGCCACTGTTCCAGTATGTTATAGTATTTATAATAAATTACCTCTTTCTCTATCTCCTCTCCTTCTTGAATTACCTTTGTCTGCAATGGACACTGTAATGACTGATAACAGCCTTACTCTGTAGATGGCCACGACTGAGCACCATCCTACTTAGAGCAGCTCAGAGCCTTGGGCTATTTTTGTTTATTTTGCTGTATTATGTGTGTGTCCAATTAATCTCCAGGAGGAATAACTATACAGGCAGGTCAAGATGAAGTGAGCAGAATACTGAAGGTCTGTCTCCAAAGTTGCTCTCTAATCACAGGTCTGCCACTGGCTTGTTATATGACTCTAGGCAAGTAATTCCATCTCTCTCTACCTCTCGCTTTTCTCAGGCTCTCCAGCCTGTATCTTTAGTCTGTAAGGTTTCCTGGGCAGCAGTTGCTTAGCATTATGTGCTCACACAAGTGGAAAACAGCCTGGACTTCAAAAGCAACAGTGATACAAATAAATAATAATTTTGGTTTTAATTCTTGCTAGTCATTCCTCAAATGCTTCCTCATGTCCCCCTCTCCCAGGGACCTCTGTACTCTCCTAATGAGTGGTGAAATGGAGACATAAGAGGTGGATAATCTCATTTGTTTGGTGTTCAAATACTGGTGATGAAAAGTGTACTGCTATGCCCACACTGAGAGGGGTGACCTTCATTTACCTGCCTTACTCCACAGCTGCCTGTGGCTTCCATTTGCTGCTGGGACTGCAACATTTGTGGCCTTGAAACTTATCCTCCCATCCTCTGGCTGCTGTGATTCCCTCTCCTCTGCACCAAATAAGCTACTCAGCTTCCCTAGTGTCGCTCAGTGAGTGCCACTAAAGATGCCTGAATGGGTGACAGCTGAGGATTTTGGAGAAACATAGCTCAGTGACAGCAGAGGGAAGCATGCGTGGAGGTGCAGGAAAGTGCTTGGGAGAAGGCAAAGGGAGGGTGGGAAGGAGAACTTTGTGCTGTAGAGCAAAAAATAGAGCAAAAGAGAGAAAGGAGTCAAATGGGGAAGGAGATGTAAAAGCCCATAATCTTCCACAGAAACGCAGTGCAAGTGTGTGTGCAACTTGTTACTACATAGAGTGTGAAAGGAGCAGGGTTTCAATACAAATTTATTTTCATCTTGTTTTCCTTTTATCATCCCTCCTGATTTGCAGACCACTGAGATAGATTACCTTTATTGTCATAACAAAACCTTGTGCGTTCCATCCAAACACTTCTGTCTCTTCAGAGGTTATGAGACATGATTTTTTCAATCTTTTTTATTTTGTCATACCTATTGTACTGGAAAAACCTTAGTATGTCTTCTGTGCTGTCCTGTCTTTTGCAGAGTTACAGAGACCTTAGCAGCTGCTTTGTCTCCTTTACAACCCCAAGATTTACTACCGTGTGTCTTTCAGAAAAGCATGAAGTGCATCTACATGTTCCTAAGAAGCTCATCCATAGCCTACCTTTGCCCCTTTGGACAGTGAATTTAGACCCTGGATGCTAAAATGGTGGAGCGTATATTTCTCACTGCTCCATCCAGTCAACATGTTAGTTTAAGGGGGTATGTTTAAAGCTAGGTTTAAGATCCTGTCACCTATTTAACTGCAGCTACCTGAAAGCATGAAGTTCCTTCTTACCTGTGTGGTAAAATTTTCCTGAAAATCCAAGGTTGAAGGTAAAATTTGCAACCTGAGTGCGCAGTAAATTTTGAGTCTCTAGTAATGCCTGAAATAAATAAGAAATTAACATGCATTTAGAAATACGAATACTAATTTTTGGAATGCCTAATTTTAAAAATTGTATCCAACTGACGAGATACAAAAAAGATGATTCTAGTAAATGTTTCACATTTTATTTTGGGCTCATTTTTTTTTAAAGATTATTACAGTGAGTAATTTTGTAAAGACTAATACAGTAAGACTACTATTCGAACAAAATCTGATGGTCTAGCAATGCTATTAATAGTACCTAAATACCAAAATATGTAGTGTATCTATGGCAGGACTTGAATCTAGCCATTCAGAGGCAGCAAAGTACTAAATCACTAAGTCACCCAAGTTTTGAGTTATTAATTAAGCTTGATAAAATGTGCTTAAAACCAAAAGTAAAATTAGAAATACTACTTGCCATCCAGATGTGGTGGCAGTGGGATTTACTTACCTGCACAAACATTTTTTTATTGCATCTGAATACCAAATTCAGCCTTAAATTCAAATAAGCAGAACTCCAATATTGACCTACAGCATAAGTACTGTCCATTTTTCTCATGTCCAAAATTAAATCCCTGTTTATTTTTATTAAAGATAAGATCAATTTGAATGAAATGGAGGAAAAGGGTATTGCTTCTAGAAGAAACAAGTGTAGTCTTGGTCATCTACTCAGTTTTTCATGGGCATATTTCCAACTACCAAAGAAAGAGAAAAGATAGTGTCTCAGACTGCGTGAGCTATCTACATTTACTGTTAAGGTTGTCAGTTCTGCACTGCTTCTAAAGATAGTCCTCACTACAGATATCTGTCTGCTTTGAATCACCAGCCCACTTAATTTGGATGTGCTGCATATGTAAGATGGGTAGAGCATTTATCTCCCTGCTGGTCTTGCCAATGTTGAATGGGTTATAAGCTCTATTTTCATTAATTTTCTGTGTCTCCATTATGTGCGTCTTAAGAACATTTTCCCATCATCTATTAATAACATTTCTATTGATTGAATGTTCATGTTCTTGCACAGGTTGAAGACAAAATGAATGCAATGGTTTACACACAGTCAAGTCCAGCTAATGTTTCCTTTCATTTGAAAAGATAATATATTTTATGGTCAATAGTAATTTTACTTAACACTACAGGAAAATAGTTTTACCTTTTTGCTCAGCCCGCTGGTCTAATTTAAAAAACAACGATAAACTCTACTTGTGACCATAAACCAAAAGTATAGTCAGTCCATAGTAAATGATGAACCCAGGGTTTAAGCAAATGAGGTGCAGACTGATGGCCTGTACAATACTAGTCCAGAGAGGAATGGTGCCATGATTTATCATATGCCTTTTGCACTACTCTCAGCTTTTGCTATAGGCCATTAACTTCTTAAAGTTACTGACTCCATGCTAATTCTGACATGTATTTAGGCACTGTGCATGTTGGAACACAAGTCTCTTCTAAAGTGTCATTTTCTAATAGCCACCTTCTAAAGAGGCATCATCTGGGTGCCAGGCAGCTCGGGAGTGTACTATAAAAGATTGTCAGACAGCATGCATCTGCTCTCATTTTCTTAATAGAAACATTTATTGTGTGTTAAGGAAGATGTAAAGCGAAGATAGTGGTTATCAGCTGTAACAGTCACCAAACAAATTCTTTTCCTTGCTGAAGGAAAGGAATAAAGTAATCTAATGACAGTAAATTTTGTGCTTTAGTACTGAATATTAAGATAGCAATATGGTTTCCAGTCTATCTTGCCAGGCATTTAATAAGTTGATTATTTAAATCCTATGACAATTTCATATGTGGGACTGTATTTACATAATATAAAACAATTAAATGTTCGCTGAAATGAAAAACCTCAGAGATCAGCACCACTGTTAGCCAACATATTGAAGAAAATCCACAGCTGGTAGAATCCAGCACTAAATTGACACCATTACAGTCACAAGCATGGAATCTGTGTCATTATATTTTAGAACATAATTTTCCAAGCTATGTAGAGCATTTGATATTTGTTGAGAAAGACTGATGGGCTGAGCAAAATCAATTCAATTTTCCTTTGAGGAAAGAACACCTTGAGACATTATCATCACTTAACATGTAGTGTAAAAAGATACACAAAACAAACTTCATTATATCACTTTATTTTTTCCTTCCAATTTCCCTCACATTCACTTCTCAATAAGATGACAGAACTGTGAGATAGGCAGAAGCCTTCCAGCCCAGTGAGGTCTCATTAAAAACACCAAGCAAGGATTAAGACGTAAATCCTGTAACCTGCAGTGTGTCAAGCATTTTTCTCTGTCTAAAGGGCAAATCTGCCACTCAAACTGGATTTCACTTGGTCCTAAAGACTTAATTGCAATTTCCATACATACATATTAACTTAAATAATATGCAGCTAAACTTCATTTTCATGATCTCACTTAATTTTAATACTAAGAAGATACTGTCAGCTAAGTCAGTCCAAACATATTTTGTTTCTACCTGTTTGTTTGTAGAGCAGGGTTAACATCTTCCACATCCTTAACATAAAAAGCAGCCTTCATTTAAATGACTAGAGTTTGCCTTCCCTATTTTTAATAAATATAAATTCAAAGAAAATTGCTAGTGACTCATACTGCCTTCATTGGTAATTTTGCACAGTAAACGATGAGAATTTTGTCTCTTACAGGTACAGACCTTAACAGCCCACAGCACAGAAAAGTGCTGCGGCAGGAGAGGAGCAGACAACTTTCTTCTTGTCCCCCTTGCACACTGACGGGTGGGTGAACCCCTGCTTGTTTTGGCTGCTGAAGTGAGGATAGCTGCAAGAACTGCTGCTTGGGCAGATGCACCATTCCCCAGCTGCTAGGGGGTGGAGGAGCTGTGCATCCCTGGCTTCCAGTGCCAGAAAATTTTCCAGGACTTGTGCAACCTTTATGTGATGTGAAAGGTATTTACTTTGTTCTGAAAGGCTTTGCAGGATGGGGAAGGGCTACTGAATTTTAACAGCTGGAAATCATACCCAGTACCACCAAGTGGGAACACAGCTGTTCACACTCTGCTTGGGTCCTGCCATGCCACCTCCTGCTTCCCTTGGCAACCCTCCTTTCCTGGGGGCTCACCTCTCCCTGCCCCATCCCCATGGCATGTTGACCTCAGGACTTTGCTAGGCACTGCCCACAACTTCAGCAGAATGGAAATTCAAATAAAAGAATGTGGATTTAAAAAAGCATTACAAATCTTACTTTGTAGAGAAGATTATTTTTTTCTGGGTATTACAACTGACCACAGTATTTGAGTTCTATCTGCGAATGTGTGTGTCTTTTCCTTAGAGTCAGTGGGATTATTTTTTTCTCTGAGCACTGGGGTTTAAAAGAGCTGTAAGTGAAAGCAAGTTGTCTGCATGTGAAAATACAATTAGGGTTCCCCATTGAACTCACAGGAGTGTGTTAAACCAACAGCTGGATCCCATTGTTGTATTTTTTGACACTTAAGTAGATCATGCTAAAAAATTATCATTCTCCAGGAAAAGAATCATGGAGTACACCTGCATGTGGACAAACAGGCATGTCTCAGTGCAAGGCTAAGTAAATTACAGGGGTTTTTTCTTAAGGTAATCTAAGCTGTTCTTTCAAATACAAAAACCTTAATTGCCTGGAATCTCTCAAAACTCATGAGTTTCATTTTATTAATTGATACTTTGTCAATGAAGCTTCTCTCTGTGACATTCACAAGATATGGTTTCTTCTTTATATTGCATTTACATTCAGTAGTATTTTACATTAACCAGTATAATTACCTTTTGTATATTTGAAGTTGCTGTGTCTTTATTCTTTATAATTGGTGCATCTATTAAGCAGAAGTGATATTTTCCTGCTATGTCCTTGTTAATTATAACTCTATCCTTCATTTACATAATAAACTTTTTGGGGCAATTTCTGCAGTAACATTTCATGCCTAATAGGAAGCAATTTGCTTTCCTTTATTAAGTACATTAAAACTTCATGCCCCAGACATCATTGACTGTAAACATTTGATTCTGCTCAAATTTAATGCATCAAGGCATTTTGCTCTGCCATATTAGGTTTATTTATGTGCTGTGTTCTGGATTGTTAGCTGCTAATGAGACTTCGGCTCTTATTGCTCTAAGGCCTGAACACTAACCTCATTTTAATGAGTTCATTATTTGCTGCCTTCTGAATAGAAGACAACAAATTTTCCTTTTAATTAAAGGTCAAAACACCTCTGGCTAAGGAAAGTGAAGAGGTTATCAGATCCATAGAGAAGGTAAAAGAATTACTTTTTCTGATTTTGATGCCAAGCATGGGCAGGCCAGGCTGAGGTACAAGGTGTTTCTCTGGGGACCAAACCTCCAAATCTAAGCTAAGTGATAACAATGCTAAAACATGGTACTAGTGTTCCCAAGACATTGTAAAAACAAACAAATAAAAAAACCTAAACTGAAAGTCAGCCAAAGTAATTAAAGAGGCTTTATTCCTAACCCAAAGGTCCGTGTCGATCAATACTACTGCTAAGGCATAAGCCCTTCTTTGCATGTGCAATGATTTATACGGTGCAGAGGGCAGATGCCAGATTCACTGAGCCAACAAAAACTGATCTCCTATTTCTCATCGGGGAAAGTGAGGTGAATGTGATCACTATCTGGGGCTGTTTGCAGTGAGACAGAGGTATATGCAACCATGTGTATGTGCATATGCATGTAAAAGGGATTGGTGATCCTTTTCTATGAAAATACGGAGTGGAAACTTTAATCCTTTTTTGGTTTGACTAATTAGGGGAATTAATATGCAGATTCTTGTCCTTTGTGTAGTGTTTTATACCTGGTCACCATCTTAAAGGCAGGCTAACTGACATCGGTTTGTGGGCCTCTCATTTGAGCAGCTACTCACATCACAGGTAATAGTGTTAAGAGACAGGAAAAGTGTTTGTGAAAGAAGAGGTCAGTGTCTGTCTGAACAGCTGGGGAAAATGTAAAATCTGGTTTTGGTGGCAATTTATAACAATTTGTGAAGTATAGACATG